GAGGTGGTGGTGGTGGGATGCGGTACAGGGTGAGGAAGAAGTGAGGTCCAGTGAGGGAAGGAGGTGGGAACTGGGGGATAGGGAATGGTGGGAGGAAAAACAGCCATGATGAAATCTGGTGAGGGTGGTAGAATCAGGGACAGAGAAATGGGAGGCGTGTGTGGAGGGACCTATAGGTGAAGGGAGGAAAGCAGAATCCCAGAATATAGATGAGTAGTTGAAGGGCAAAGTAAGAACTTTTGCAAGATTGGCTGGAGAGGAGGGAAGTGGTGGTGATGAGGCAAAAGAGGATCTGGAGTGGGGGATAGGGTGGGTCTGGAAACAGACCCAGGTTTGAGGAGTAGAGTTTGTGAAAGGAAATCAGTAACTGGGGAGAAGATATGAGGAGGAAGGGAGAAGGATCCAGAGGAAGGGGAAACTGACATCGTAGGGGTGGGGTTGGGAGTTGGAGATAGGATGGGGGAATGAAGAGAAACACAGAGACACTGCCTTTTTGAGAAGTGGGGGACAGAGAGAATAAGAGTCAGTTATGTGGAGGACACGTACACAGCCCCTGGTATGGGGGTGATGGGACTAGCAGAGACTCCTTGAAATGGCTAGGCAGGGTATGGTGACATACAAGGTGTTTATGGGAGCTGGAGTGGATGGGGAGAGGAGGAATGGAGGGAAGCAGGAAGCCTCTGGTTGGTGCAATGTGCTTGGCCTACAGAAGCTATGATGTGTGCAACCCCCTATTGGTAAAGAGTGAGAGCATTTAAAATATTCTCACCATTTACATAGATTAGAGCCGTGGCGTCAAACCACTTCTGAAGCAGTAGCCAGTATGGTGGGTACTGCTGTAGCAAACTAGCCACATTATTCTGAAATACTCAATAATTGTTCAAGCCAAGTAGCCACACTCAACTGGCCAAATATAGCTAGTGGCTAGCACAGGGGTGGGCAAAAGGGCCTCTGCGGGGCAGATCTGGCCCACCAAGTGGCTTGATCTGGCCTGCGTAGGCCCTGCCGCTCCCCACTCCGAGGCCAATAAGGGCCTGGGGAAGGGAGAGCTTCCTCCTGCCCTGCCGGGAGCACGCAGTACTTTGAAATGCCATGTGCTGCTCTTGGGGCAGAAGAAGATGTCACGCACTCCCCCGCCCCCAAGTCCTGATTGGCCTGGGGGTGGGGGAACTGCACAAAGTTTCCTCCGCCCTCCCCCCCACCCTGCAAGGAGCACTCAGCACTTCAAAGTGCCGCATGCTTGCACAGGATGGGGGCAGGGTGAAGGACACTTTGTGCAGCTCCCCCGTCCCCAGGCCCTGATTGGCCTGGGGGAGGGGGAGCACGCAAAGCCTCCTTCTGCCCTGCAACAAGCGCAGAAGTGCCGTGTGTTCCTGACGAGAGGAAGGGGTAGGGCGGAGGAGGCTTCATGTGCTCCCTCACCCCCAAGCCCTGATTGGCCTGGGGGGGGGGGAGCCATGCAAAGCCTCTTCCCGCCCTGCCAGGGGCATGGGTACCTAGTGGGAAGGGGGGAGGCAAAAGGGCTCGCCCATCGCAAACCAATCATGGGTTGGGAATAGAGAAGCCCAGAAGCATCCTGGCCCTGCCCCTTCCAGTTTAGGCCCTGCCCCTTCCGGGGCGGCCTGGGGCCACCTCAGAAACTTTTGAAGTGGCCCTGGCCAAAAATTATTGCCCACCCCTGAGCTAACATTTGGACACACTGTATTAGAGCCATACATGTACAGTAATTCATAAAGTCTGGATCTATACTAAGGACTTCTATCTGTACAGTAATCATATATAAACAAGCATTGGCAAGGGCACTTAGAATAGATGTGTTTTTTATAGTGAACTCATTTTAGGATTTGCTATTTTCCTTAATTTCCTACTTGCTGGCTTTCTCTACTAAAGAGGATGGTGCATGCTTCCTTGGGAGCGCATCAGAGGTTCTGCAGGAGTCTGTTTTGGGCCGGCTCTGTTCAATATCTTCATCAATGATTTAGATATTGGCATAGAAAGTATGCTTATTAAGTTTGCAGGTGATACCAAGCTGGGTGGGGTTGCGTCTGCTCTGGAGAATAGGGTCATAATTCAAAATGATCTGGACAAATTGGAGAAATGGTCTGAGGTAAACAGGATGAAGTTTAATAAAGACAAATGCAAAGTGCTTCACTTAGGAAGGAACAATCAGTTTCACACATACAGAATGGGAAGCGACTGTCTAGAAAGGAGTACGGCAGAAAGGGATCTAGGGGTTATAGTGAACCACAAGCTGAATGAGTCAGCAATGTGGTGGTGTTGCAAAAAAAGCAGACATGAATCTGGGATGCATTAACAGGTGTGTTGTGAGCAAGACACGAGAAGTCATTCTTCCTCTCTACTCTGCGCTGGTTAGGCCTCAGTTGGAGTATTGTGTCCAGTTCTGGGCACCGCATTTCAAGAAAGATGTGGAGAAATTGGAGAGGGTGCAGAGAAGAGCAACAAGAATGATTAAAGGTCTAGAGAACATGACCTATGAAGGAAGGCTGAAATAATTGAGTTTGTTTAGTTTAGAAAAGAGAAGAGTGAGGGGGGACATGATAGCGGTTTTCAAGTATCTAAAAGGGTGTCATAAGGCAGTGGGAGAAAACTTGTTCATCTTGGCGTCTGAGGATAGAACAAGAAGCAATGGGCTTAAACTGGAATAAATTGCCTGGGGAGGTTGTGGAATCCCTATCTCTGGAGATATTCAAGAGTAGGTTAGATAAATGTATATCAGGGATGATCTAGACAGTATTTGGTCCTGCCATGGGGGTAGGGGACTGGACTCGATGACCTCTCGAGGTCCCTCCCAATCCCAAGTTCAGGACTCTACACTTGTCCTCCTCAGATTTCTTTTGGCCCAATCCTCCAATTTGTCTAGGTTACTCTGGACCCTATCTTTGCCCTCCTACATATGAAGCAAAATACAGGACTATGTAGCACTTTAAAGACTAACAAGATGGTTTATTAGATGATGAGCTTTCGTGGGCCAGACTCACTTCCTCAGATCAAATAGTGGAAGAAAATAGTTACAACCATATATACCAAAGGATACAATTAAAAAAAAAATGAACACATATGAAAAGGACAAATCAAATTTCAGAACAGAAGGGGGATGCGGGGGGGAGGGGGGTTAAATGTCATTAGTCCACAGACATTTAACCCCCCTCCCCCCCGCATCCCCCTTCTGTTCTGAAATTTGATTTGTCCTTTTCATATGTGTTCATTTTTTTTTAATTGTATCCTTTGGTATATATGGTTGTAACTCTTTTCTTCCACTATTTGATCTGAGGAAGTGGATCTGGCCCATGAAAGCTCATCATCTAATTAAAGACTAACAAGGTGGTTTAAGTGCTACATAGTCCTTCTACATATCTACCTCTCCCCCTATCTTAGTGTCATCCGCAAACTTGCTGAAGGTGCAATCCATCCCCTCATCCTGGTCATTAATAAAGATGTTGAACAAAACCAGCGCTAGAACCAAGCCTTGGCACACTCTGCTTAAAACCGTCTGCCAACCAGACATTGATCGCTATCTGTTGAGCCTGACAATCTAGCCAGCTTTCCAGCCACCTTACAGTCCATTTATCCAATCCATACTTCCTTAACTTGCTGGCAAGAATATTGCTAAATATCTATCTAAATAAACTGGGAATTCATAGTCTGCAGGACCCCCCCAAAAATGGAGGGTTGTTAGGATACAGTAGTGAGTTTTTAGCCCATCTGAAACACTTCACAAACGTTAAATATTGGTCGTAGCCTTCTTCCTGTTCCTTCCTTTTTTGTCAATGGGGAACACAGAGCATTATCTGGATTAAGGATATTTGTATCCGTGCTGGTTACATTTCTACAAATTTTCTAATCTAGGAGAGCCCTGAGGTTGAAAACCTCAGTGACTTGACCAAAGCCACAGAGGAAGTTTATTAAAGATGGAATTAAAATGCAGGATTCTCTTGTTCTCAGCCCTATGCCTAGTCTGCAATTAGGCTACTCGGCCAGATGTGTTATTGAACAATCTCTCTTGGCCAGAAGTGTCACACTGAACAGCAGAAAAGCAGGTCCAACAATATACACTGTTGTGATGAATATAAGGGGGGAAATAGTGTCCTAAATATGTTTAGAAGAATTTGCAGTGGTGTTAATGGGAGCCATCTTCTGCCAACTAATTTGTGATCTTTCCAGGACTTGAGAAATTTGTTGTCCTGGTTTTGAAACATTACAGTAGTTAACTAAGATAAATGTAGTAACCTGTACTCTTTACAATATGACAAACTCACTAACCTTTGTGCTCAGTTTATATGCATTAACATTTTAAAGGATTTCTATAAGAAAATGATTAGAAGCCTCATGCTTAAAATGAGGGCAGGGGCTAGGATACTTGTTTGTTTCTAAAGCTACACAATTAAATGTCCACAAACATGAGATTTTTTGCAGACCTGAAGACCCCCTCTGCATTCACTAGCACCTGAAAATTCTGCCATTTGATTGATATTCTCTTTCTATAGGGATGTCAAATGTGCCACTTCCCCTCCCCCCCCCCCCCCCCCCCAAACAAACCTGTTTTCCCCTCCCACACTGCAAAAACTATATAATTTTGTGGTCTAATAAAATTAGTCAATAAATAGTTTGGGCAAAATGAGTGAGTCATTCTTTAACTCAGTAACAGCAATTCCTGGCAGTAAATGATTAATAGTTTTCTAACGTGTTACTTATTCACTGCAGTTTTTAAATATTAGATTTGTTCTAAATCCAGTAAATAATCCTGCATCTCACATTGTACTTAGAATTTTCATAAAATTGGTGAAAGAACTACATCTGTAATTCATTTTTGTCAGAAAAGAGTTTATAGTCAGACTTCAGTACTCCGTTAGTCTAGAAAACAACTTTTATTTGTGATATATTCAAGTCTTAAAATCCTTATTCCTATTAAAGAGTAACGGAAGACTTGTACCATATATTATAAAACTTATTTATGAGTGTGAATATTTTTCTTTGTAAAGCCTCAGAAGAAAGAGGATCAGCAATTAGAGCCTAAAGCAAGTCCGAGAAAACCACCAGAACCTACTATAGATCTTTTAGGACTCGGTGAGTAATAAATAATTAAATTCTGTGGGTTTTTTGTTTGTTTGTTTTTTATAAAAATGACTACACAGGACTTTAATAAAATGAATGTATTGTCTTTATCTTCCATATGCTAGCAGACATTTTTTGTTGAATTCGGCCAATCATATTTTCATGTAATCTCAGTTTCTCCAGTATTTTGTAGGGTTTCATGACAACAGTGGGAATTATTCATTTTAATCTAAGATAACTTTCTCTCCCCTCTCCTGGCTGGCAGACGACAATGTACTTGTCTTGAACTAGCTTTGACTTAAAGAAATAGTATATCCTATGCAATATCTATTTACAGGGATCATTCTTTTCATATTCTTTCCCCTTCTTCACAAAATTGCCAGACACCTTATTTTAAAAACCATGTCTGATCTTCTAGGAGGTTAATAATGAAAGCAGAGAAAGGTGCTATATATAATTATTTTAGTTCTTCTTTGAGGAGTTTCTCTGTGGGCACTGCACCTTAGGTGCTTGAGTACTGCTTGAAGTCTTTTTTTCTTATTGAGACATGGCTAGCACGCCTGGGTGTAAGAGGTGTGTAACCTGCAGGCTGTCCATTCCTATATTAGATAGTCACTCACAGTGTGTCTGCTGCCTAGGTGAGGAGCACTCCACTGCTCAGTGCCCCCACTGTAAGAAATTATCATCCAGGATGAGAAAAGCCAGAGAACTTCAGTTAAAAATGATGCACCTGGGGAAAACAGCTTGTCCAGAACAAAAACAAAAAGTGACCATATTATTGCTCACGTGCAGGCTTAAGCCCACAGTCATTGGGAGATGCATTAAGCATAAGGTGGGAAGCACTGCTACTATATGCTCCTCCACTGCTCCCAATGATAAAACACATGAGCCGAAAAATCAGACAGGATAAAGTGAAGGTCATATTGATAGCCCCGAAGTGGCCCAGACAGGCTTACTACCCCTACCTACTGGGGATGAGCGCTTGACCGCCCTATGCTCTTTCACCACTTTGGTCCCTGTTGAAGCAACAGGACAGACAGACACACTATCCAGAAGTGAACACACTTTACCTCCATTCATGGTTGGAGATTGGGTTGTGCGGTTGGAGGCCTATTACTCAGATGAGGTACAACAAATCCTCATCAACCGCCTCAGGCCTGCAATTAGAAAGACACGCAGTCAGAAATGGCATCGCATTACACTGTGGTGTTTAGAACGCACTCTCATCACAACAGAATCAGGGGTCTCGGACATTTTAGCCTACCTACTACACCTGCACAAGACAGGACTATAATTGAGCTCACTCAGAATACATAGCGGCATTGCACCTGCCAATACAGGGATACTTGGCCTTCACTCACTCATCTACCAAAACATTCCTGCGAGGCCTGCAGAGTATGCTTCCATCAAGATGGTACTTGATCCCTGCATGGGACATTAATTTAGTGCTAAGGGCTCTTATGGGCAAACCCTTTGAGCCATTGGTCACTTGCTCCCTTCTATTGGAGCACTTATCTATGAAGGTGGCATTTCTGGTGGCAATTAGCACTGCTAGAAGGATATGAGAGATAAGTGCACTCATGACACAACTATACTACATGGTAATCCAGAAAGACATGGCGGTACTAGGTATGCACCCTAAACTCCTACCTAAAGTGCTTACCTTGTTTCATTGCAATGAACCAATATTTACCTATCTGTCTTCTTCCCCAAACCACACAAGGACAACAGGGAAAGGACACTACACATGCTAGATGTCTGCAGGGCAATAGTCTTTTATATACAACACAACTCTTTGTGTTTTCTATGGAAAAATCAAGAGGGTTATTCTTATATCCAAACAAAGACTATCAAAATGGATACAGGAGTACATATGTCTAGCTTGGGACATATTCCACAAGGAACATAAGAGTGCACTCTGAAAGCAATGGCAGCTACAACTGCCTTCCTTAATGGGATACCAACTGAGAACATATGCATGGTCACAGCACTCATATTCACGCAATATTATGCAATTTAGGTGATTGCTGATACAGACACGTGGTTTGGGTGAGCTGTTCTTACAGCTCCTGAGCTAACACAGGGGTCAGGCAAGACAGTGGTGGGGCCAGAGCAGAGAGGGCATTGTTCCGGCCCTTCCCTGGGTGGTGCAGGGAGGAGTCATGTGGGGATGCCAGGGCCCCCACTGCCGTCTCCTTAACCAGTCACCCGTGCTTTCCAATTGTCGTTTTCTATACTGGGTTCCATGTTGCTGCTCATTGCACCTATAGAGGTTGAATTAAGCAGTTTTTCTTAAAAATATTTGTTAAAAATAAAGAAAATGATAGTTGTGGTGAGATCCTTCCTTAGCGAATACACATTTACTTGGATCAATCCATTTGAGGATAATACTATCCATTACTAAGGACTTTTTTAAAAAACAGTGCATACTGGCACTTCATTTTTGAGACAGATGTTTTTTCAGTACTCAGTGTTGAAGTATTTACTTTCCACTGTGTTGAATTTGCAGGAAGAAATACAACTCAGTTTCCATTTTATGCATCATTCAACAGTTATGTGTACCATTCAGAAAAGACAGAATTGAATATGAATAATTGCATATCTTAAAGTAACTTCATAGTGTATTGGCACTGGTAATGGATGATATGACATGATCTGTGAAGACAGATAAGTAATTACTATTGTTTTTCACTTCATTATATGAGATTCATATAATATAAGCAAGTTACTTATGGAAAACAAGCTCTAAAAATACAACCTCATTACTCTGGAAATATAAGAATAGAGCATACTATTATAAAACTTTTTATAAGTATCAGGAAATGCTACACATATCTGACAATGTGTTTCTGGACATTAATCTGTCATAGTTTGGTAATAAAACATAATACTGAAACCACTTAAGGACAACAGTATCCTAAAAATGTAGTACCTTATTTACAATGCTCAGTAATATGAAGTAGAACTGAAAGTTACAAATTAAGGAGGCATGTGTATTTACTAGACACTATTACCACAGATATTACCAGTAACAAATTGTAAAATTCCATTTTTAGCTGAATTTCTGTGAAAAGAAAATAGACTAGTATTGCCCTAAATATTAGAAAGCATGATACTTCCCCAATATTTATATAGTAAAACTGTCTTTCATCATGTCAGTTCTGGATCACATGCCCAGGCAGCTTTTGAGTATCTAACACTTATATAGACTTCCAGGGTCTCTTGTTTTTGGGGAACTCCTAATTGCTTTGGGAAAGCAAGACACCTGTTTTTTTTCTGGGAACAGTTAATCTTTCTTGTATCTAAGAATTTTAATCGCATGTTACATCATCTTCCAAGTGAATGTGGGGCTAACTCTGCTTCTAACATCCAAAACTATATATCTGTTAAGTCTCCACTTTCGCCTGTTTCATTTCTGCTTACATACTCAGAGGGTTTTATTGATCCTTCATGTACATTTTCTAGATGACCTCCCCCCCTACACCCACATAATTTATTACTTTCCAGCAGGGCCGACTTAGCCATTAGACACAGTGCCTAGGGCCCACGATACTTTTAGGGGCTCACAAAAATGTTTTAATTTCTTTTAAAATCAGAAGAAAAAAAATGAACTTTTAGGGTCGAAGAAAATATTTTAACTTTTTTCTCACATCAGAAAAAAATGAAACTTTTAGGGCCCACAAAAATCTATTAAATTTTGCCTAAAACAGGAAAAAAAATGTTGAAGTATTTAAAGTTATATAAAAATATTTTTTTAATATTGATATTATTATGGTGGGAGGGACTCACGAAAGTCATAATGCAGCCCTGCTTTCCAGTCCATTTTTGGAGACACAAACATGCAATCAGCTTTACTCCTGGGGGAATTCCTTATATAAAAAAATTAAATATTCTGTCCCCAGCATATTTTGTCAAAATAATACAATATATATTATTCACTGACAAGTATTTTGAAATAAATTACCAAAATAATTGAAAATTGAGTGATTATATTGTTATTTTGACAAATAAAATATGCAGAATTTAAAACCTACAGTCCCTGTCTTGTACGTAACCCGGGCACTGCCTGTACTAGTTTGTGTAAGCAAATTGCTTACATATTCATATTTAGCTACTTTTATTCCTGGGGGAATTTCTGTGCAGAAAAATAGCTGGCCATTTAAAAAAAAAAAATCTTTCAAAATAAGATTTTTAGTTTTTTTCTAAAATGTGCGATTTTTAAAAATACATCTATTTTTGGCCAGATAATTCCAATAAAAATTAATATCCTGCACACTTTACATTTAAAATCCATCAGAAATATAACCCTTAGTGGTGCCTCTCTTCCTGCCAAATACACTTTGTTAAATGTATAGTGCTTCCTCCTGGTTCTACTTAAGGATTAAAATAAGACTAATTTCTCTGAGAGGAGGAGCAGCATCTGCTGCTGTAAAATGTGGCAGGCAGCAGTCAAACATTATCTGTTATACTAGTATAAATGCAAAAAGAGAAGGAACAGCAGGTGAATCATCTGTAATTCTTAACAGCTAATAAATATCCATTTTGGGACCACAACTAGAAAAGACAATTTGGAAAGTAAATGGATATTATGTTGTTCATTACTTTTTCTGACTGAGCATGAAAGTTTTTCCTTGAGTGTACCCTCATTGCAATGGAAACTGCCATGTCTAATACTTCATCCTTAGCAACTGATGCATCCTCTAGAGAAGTGATGAATTTAAAATGGTAATACTGTTTGTTAAAGTAAGCTGTTTCACTGTAATCCAGTGATCCTCACCCTTACAAGACCTCTATTGCTTACTGCTTTTTGAGATTCTTGGTTATCTTAAAGATGTGCTATAAATTCTTAGCTTACCATCTCAGGATTTTGATTCCCTTGTATACAAATATTAATCTTACCTTTTGATCAAGATGGCATTCTAAATTACTGGAGTTTAAAAAATCAACTGTATACCAAATGTTTAAAAAATTGTGTGTGTGGGGGGGGGGGGGAGGGAAATTCTTTAATTAAA